CTATGCATGCAATTCAGACAAAAATTTGTTTATTTGTGAAGTAATAGTTTTAGAATTTTATGTTTATCTGTCTGATATGTAACCATTAAACTTTACTAAATGATGTTTTGTATATTGAAAAAAAATCCGTGTTGATGTTAAATCATATCTAGATAGCTAAAACTACTACCACATTTTGTTTATTATAATCCTTAAGTGACATACTGTTTTAGTTCCTGGGTAGGTTGAATTCTCTAAATGTCTCGGAAATGCTTATCATGGATCATTGTGGATGCATATTATTCACTTAACTGGATGAACGCAAATCCAGGAATTCAACTGTTTATCCATGCATTCAAATAAATGTAAACATTCGATACTATTGTTGCTCCAGGATTGGTCTTCAACTGTGCCACGGCTAACAATAGAGAATGTAGTGGTTGAGTGAGTTGACCACTTCACTTACCTGGGAAATAGGATCAGCCCTGGTGGCTGGCTCAGTAGCTGATGAAATCTCTACACAAATGCAAAAGGCTCGGCTCGCTAACTTACGCCACCTGTTGCAACGCCGTGATATCTGTATAGCAGTCCGCTCTGTTCTACTCTATGGCTGTGAAACATGGCCATTCAAGGTGAAAGACATGAGATGGATTGGGGTGTTTGACCACCGTTGCCTTCGTAGTATGGACCGTATTCCGTGGTGTCACCACACCACATGAGTAACGTAGAAGTCAGGTGTAGAGTTTTAGGGAGTAAAGGTAAATCAGTTGACGAGGTCATGAACCTTCATGGACTCAGATGATTGAGACACGTATTACGTATGCCTAGTCGCCGATTACCTCATCATACAATGTTGGACGAAATAGGTCCAGACTGGAAAAAGGCTCAAGGTGTCCAGACTAAAACATGGCACCAATGTATGAAGTTTCTGACTGTTGGTTTAAGCCATGTAGGACGATGTAGACTAGGTGGTTGGGATCGGTAGGACAAGAGGAACCAGTGGTTGGAGACTGTGGGTGATGGCATGGCTGAGAACCTATGTCAGTGGTGCAGATGTATCGCAACACATTATCCTCATCTTAACGACACTATACCAAATCTCACCATTTTGTCATTCCTCCTTTCTCTTTTTTCGTACTTTATATTTCTTTTGACTGATTTTTATTTTCTTCCTCTTGCAGTTCACTGCCTTTTTACTTGATGCACTGACTGATATGAGGTGTGGCAAGTCGGACCGTTACGCAGTGATGCCTGGTCTTATGTTGATATTGATGATGATGGATGGATGGATGTGACTGGTGCTGATCAGCTTAAAAGGTTTTCATTGTATTTGATTGAGTTGGAGGTGTTATTCATTGATCTAGACACTAGACTTTCAACTGATGAATAACAAGTCCGAACTCCACTCGACTTGCCTGAGATTTGAGCAGTCAGGTAAGCATTATTAGTACTCATGGATGAATTTGCATAGGGTTGCCAACTAACTTTTGTTCTTGGATTGAATGATTTCTGATGAACAAAACTGTGTATCTGTCTATGTGTAGAATCACCCTAGGTAATTTAAAATCCTTCTAAATCATTCTGAAAATTACTAGCTACTGCCTACACTACGACTTTATTTCTTATAAAAATTTTCGAACTTGAGATCAAATTTTAATGAACAATCGTTCAATAATAATAATAATCGCTTTATTCCAAAGAATCTGTATGATTCAGTATAGAATTTTCAGCATGAAATATCTAAACAAATTTACTTCCTGTAAAATATTTTTTTTCTTCTAAATAGACGTCTTACATAGTGTTAATAAAATAAGTAGTAAAGTTGAAAAAAAAAAAAGAGGTGAAACAGTCAGTTGATGTTACATTAGCCTTTGGTTTTGAATCAGAAATGCACAAATCCATTTTCAACCGGTGAAACATTTTTGTCTTGTTTACTTCTAAGGCTTTATGTAACAAAAAGTTAGAAAACATTTTCAAAAATGTACAAAGAGTAAATGATGCGAAGTTTAGAAGACATTTTAAAAGATTAAAACAAACTGAAATGAAAGAATTTGATGAAATATATATTCAATGGAAGATATTTTGATAGACTAAGATTAAAGCAGGTCGCCTTAATCTCTTTTCATGCTTCAGTTCATTATCTTTGTATACTTTTTGACTTGTAAGATAAGATTCATAGTTTTACTACTGAAATATATATAGCGTCAAGCCTAGTTCACTAGTTATATTATAAAATGATGTGAAGTCAAAGTAGTCATTATAATTTCATGGTTTCTTGTCTATCATTTTCTATTCATTCTACCTTTAATCCATTTTTCCATTCCTAATTAATCAATCAATTAAACTGAAATCATAATTTATCGCATAACATAATGTTAACCGGTATAGGTTTAATTTATTATGATTATTAGTCCCTTGGGTTCCTAATGGAACATAAGGCTTCAGTAGCACGTCTCCAGTGAACTCTGTTCTCCGAAATCTTTTGAACCTAGCTCCACGACAACCTAGAAGCTCTCATTTCCTCCTTGCACGATCTCCTCTATGTCACCCTCGGACGTCCAACTCGTCGCTTCCCATGGGGATTCCACTCGAGGGCCTGACGCGTGATGTCCCCAGTCGGCCTTCCCAGTGTATGCCCAATCCATCTCCACTTCCTTCCACTGCATATTTGTTGCGTGATAGGTTCTTGGTTGGTTCGTTCCCAGAGGTATAGGTTTAAACTAGAAAAAAAAGGGAAATCTAATGGACCTAAGACATCATCATCATTATCAACATAGGACCAGTCATTACTGCGTAACGGTCCGAGTTGCCATACCTCACGTCAGTCCATCAAGTAGAAAGGTAGTGAGGTGAAGGATGAAGATAAGTGAATGCAGTCAAAAGAAATATAAAGTAAAAGAAGAAAGGAAAGAGGAGTGACAAAATGGTGAGATTCCGTATGGTATAGCGCTGTTAAGATGAGGATAATGTGTGTATACATCTGCGCCACTGACAGGACCTAAGACATAAAGTCTTTGACTGTTAGACAAAACTATGTAAGCGAAATATAGAGTCCTAAGTTGAATTTCATGTAACAAATGAAACTGATGATTGTAAACTTAAAACGATATTGTTCCTAATTGATCTCAGGTGTATTCACCAATCAACTTCAGTTAAATCGTAACATCGATTATTGCTATGGTAATTTGCTTAGTTGTGACTAGCAGACGAATCTAAGACGTGCATTTCATCCTACTTGGGACTCGTCAGCTGGATGTACCTGAACCCCAATGAGTGTTGTTCCCTCTGAGACTCGAACCTCGTACCCATCGCTTCAAACACTGCGGCGTTTACTATAATTAATATTCAGGTAATATTGAGGCATCCGCATATAAACCCATATGCCTATAGAGGTCGAATAATGCTATCGGATAAATAAAAAAACGGAGAATTACAAGTATATCAATAAATAGTAACAGTCGATTGTGTTGACAATCACAAATAATCGTTTTGATAAGTGTCCAAAGAAATGAAAAGTTTAATATTAACTGATAGATAGTAGGCGGTGTTATGCCATTAAATGACTCACTGTTAGGTAGTTATAGCGTAGACAAATACTACTCGATATGTGGTCCGTTCTGTTCTGTTATACAGCTGTGTGACATGACTGTCAAAAGTAGAAAATGTGAAGCGGTTATTGGGTTTCAATCACAATTGTCTTTATAGTATTGCTTGCGTTTGATGGAATCACCGTATGAGGAATGTTAAGGTCAGGAAAAGGGTAACAGGCAAGAGAGGCAAGTCGATTAATGAAGTTGTGAACCTTCATCAGTTGAGGTGGCTTGCATATGTGTTGCACATGCCGATCCACCACCTACCTCGACATACCATGCTCCAGGAACTTGGGTTAGGTTGAAAGATGATTTAGCGCGGTCAGACCAAGACGTGGTACCAGTTCATGAATTCCCTGACTGATATTGTGAGATATATGGGGATATGTAGACTGCTTAATAGGGGTCCCAAAGACGATGGTAATCAGTGATTGAGGACTGATGGTATCTTGGCTGAAAACTGGTCACAATGACACAGATGTATTCACTCCTTGACATCTTCTAAAGTTTGAATATTTGAACTAACTTTCATCTTCTGTTTGTTTATTCTCTCATACATCTCTGTCTACCCTAAAATGAGTCTTTTTCTATCCACCAGTTCTTTGCATACTACTGTGAACTGTGAGAACTTGAGTCGATGTACTTGTATACGAGGTTTAACGTTGATTTTATCTATCTGATTTAATGTAGAAGCATTTCAGTACATGGAGGTCACTGAGACATTTGTAAAGTGCTTTCATTTATTGAGTAACAATCTGAATTTTACCCTTATTGGTCTACACGCTTGACTCCCAACCAGCAGGTGAGGAGTTCAAACATTGCTCCACCTGTCCAAGGTCTAGGCAGCTAAGCAATATCATTAGCCCCTATACAATAGGTGCAACTCATCGCCTACTACACGAATTCCCACAAGGTCACTAAGTCTATCTCTCTCTCTTCTCCAACACGCACACCTGCTGCAAACTTTCAACATTACTGACATAAAGTTATCGCTGGATAAAAAGAAAGCAATAAAGTAGACACTGCACACACTACAGTTAAACTGTCAACAAATAATGCAAAATTATGGTAATGAATCCTATTAAAGCATTGAAGAAAGCAGATTTGAGAAGAAGCCTATAATCGTTGGACGGAAATTCATATAGCTAAAGTGGATAACTGTACTGTAAATCTTCCATTCAAGCAGCAGTAAGAAATGTATTGTATTATATGTCTATTGAAAATTCAATTCCTCTTCTCTTTTATTTCATCGCACACAATGTTTGTATATAAACTAACATATATGTTTATCCCTGCTTCTACACTGTTCATTGATATATCTTGTTCCATAACTTTTCCATTAATTTCAGCATGTTATTGAAATTGATTGCTACTTTCACAAATGTTTATCTGTTTTTGCTTTCCTCTCCTATATATTCTTGTCAATTATAGATTTCTCGACCACAATACATGATTGTATTCGGGCATAAAGCATCCCCTGAAGATATATCACTATACCAGGAAGCATGCAGCAAGATAGATAGTGTTATCAAGGGCCCATTCTTCACAGGTAAGTTCGTTTCTTTTCTTTTCTTTTTTTACTGAATTGTCCCATATCTATGTCGGAGTCCCCGAAACCAAAGGAATCAATGGTTGAGGACTGTTGGTGATATGGCTGAAAATCATTCACAGTAGTGCATTTGTATTCACTCCTTGACATCTGCTAACTCTTGAATATTCCCACTAACCTTTATCTTCCGACTGTTTATTCTGTCACACAAATTTGTCTACTTTGAGATATCAATCCTTTTTCGTCCACTTGTTGTTCGTATACTACTGTGAATTGCTGACACTTGAATCCATGTACTTGTGTGCGAGGTTCTACGCTGATCTTATCTGTCTGTTCAGTTCGAAGTACTGATCCGTGCAATGTGGCTGCACAAAGCTAAATGATATGGTACTGCTATGCTCTCGATGTATGGTGTGCACTTGAAAGGAGCAGAACAACAATAGGGGAGCAGGCTAAGGTTAGTACTCAGTTTACTACAGTGGTACCTTGCCAACTGCTTACAATTCCTAAAATATTAAATTATGTAGTTTCAGTGAAAATTTAACATAACTTGTTTTATTGAAAGAAAATGGAATATCGATCAGTGGTTAGGACGAACAGACATAATGATAGATGGATCAACGTTCAATCATTGCAGCAAATTCAAGTAGGGTTTAATAGACGGTCATAATTATTTACATAATCTAGCAGAAGTTTCTCGAATAAAGATAACGATAGGAGTAGCAACCAAAATAAATATTGTGAGTTAAGCTCAGTTCGTTAAAAAACATTCAATGTGAATAATATCTAAGGTTGAGAAAAGAGAAAACAGTCTAGAAAGGTTACTAGGGTAGAAAAAGGTTGACTGTAACTTTGCTTCAAACACATAAATCAAGTCTGACGTATTCAATGGTTATGACTTCAACAAACTTTAGTAGAATTGATCTCATTTATTTATTATCTTGAAGGAATTAAAGATGTTCACTTGTGATGCCCAGTGTCACTCAGATGCCGAGTGATTGCACTCTTCAAACTGTTACTTTGCATTAGTCGTAGGCTCTTTGAAATATATTCGAAAAATCTAAGATATACTCATCTTTCTGTTTTTCAAATGTATCTGCTATGGTGGCTACACATAAATTGATGTACACAGTTGCAGATAACGCAGGAAGGGTACCAGTCAATTTTAGACTGAGCTAAGAAGCACGTTGTTTGGCATACAGGAATTGACCTGGTTGTAGGGGAATTTCTAGTCAGCTGCATCTTCAATTGTCTGCTGATAATAATTCCTTGAATATCATCACTTTTGTAATTGAGGCTAATGAATAAATACACGCTCCTTGCTGACTTCAGCTTTCTTTAACTTTTTTTTCTTCTGTTTTTCCATATCTGTAAGCATCTTCCAACTGTTCTCAACTCTTTCTCCATTTTATCACTGGAGCATACCATTCTAACTTTGTGAAATGAGGTTTTAACTAATCCTCGTTTGTAGTTTATCAGACAAAAGCTACAAAATATAAGGTAGGCACCATTTCATGTGATTTTTCGTTGACTGGAACTTTTCAGCTTACCATCTATCCTACATTGTACGGTAACATCCAGAAAATTGATCTTTCTAGACTAAACTAGTAAGGAAGTTTGCTTAACAAAGGTTTTAGGTTTGTTGATGTTCACCAGCAAGGAGTATACGCAATTTTGAGAGAACTTATGCTCATTTAAACATTCGACATTGCATTACTCACAACCGAATTCGTAGATTTTAGGATATCTTGTTTATGTTTAGTGAAGTCAGTTTGGCAGCGGCTGTTATCAGCCATGTCACCAACAGTCCTCAACCACTGATTCCTTTCGTTTCGGGGACCCCAACAAGGTAGGCAAAATCTCCCAACAGATGGATACTCCAACGACTGGTACCAAGTCTTGGTCTAACCACCCTAAATTCTCTTCTAACCTAATCCAACTTCCCCCAGCATGGCACGTCGAGTTAGGTGATGGCCCGGCATGCACAACACACGTCCAAGCCACCTCAGTCGATGAAGGTTCACAACCTCATCAATCCACTTGCCTATTTTGTCTAGTACCCTTCGCCTGACGTCAACATTCCTCACACGGTGACTTCACCAAACGCGAGCAATGCTGCAAAGATACCTATGATTAAAATCCTGTCACTGCTTTATGTCTCCTGCTTTCAACGCGCATGTCACACAGTCGTATAACAGTACAGAACGGACCTGACTGCAATATATTCCTCTTTTGACAGGTAGTCGGATATCTCGCTAGTCGGCGCGACAGATAACTCGCGTTGGCAAATGCCGAACGGGCTTTCTGTATCCGAACTGAGATTTCGTCAGTAACCGCCCCGTTTCGACTGATACGACTTTCAGTAAAACGCATGCCAAACATACTCAGATTTCTGCTTAACACGTCCAGAAGAGACTGAATTTTGTCGGTGTCTTCGCCTAGTAGGACAATATCGTTTGCATACTCCAAGTCAACCAGAAGACTTCCATGGAGTAAGTCAGTCCCTGTGAAGTGAGATGAGCCTAAAGTTTATGTCCATTAGTATGGGTATAATGGAGTTAAATAGATAGCAAGTGGGTCTTACGCGCCTGTGAGATAAGACCGTTTGCCAACGAAAACTTTCCAGTGTGTAATGAGTGAATGTACTTTCTAACAATATTACTGATAGGAGTTCAAGCTATCAGAGCAACCAATTATGGAGAGAAACACTCAAGATATAATAATCATCATTAGATATAAGCGTACAATATTGTTTCCAATTAGCTTTCATCACTCTTTACGTGTATGCAGATTAACAAACGTGTTATTGAGTACCTTACCGTCATAGTTAGGAAAGGGACAAGTGAAGTCAACACGAAGTTCAATTCTGTCACATTCTATCGATAATGGTCGTATAATAGATGAGAAGAAAGCATTCAAAATCATTCAACCCATCCAACAAAAAATGTTTCAAATGGAATTTTTACTCGCATTCTATATGTAACTTGGGCGATAGGAATTAGAGGAAACAAGCCTAGTTTTAGTGTTAAAGAAAATTTTATGCAGTTGTTATCTCTACCTTGGTTAGAGAAAACTTAATAAATAACTTCAAGGCTAAATTCAGTTCCTCATCCCCCTCCTTTTTCTTCACCGCTTTCGCACACATGTCTCATTTGATTAGATAGAGTTTAATTACCCACACATTTCATCCTTTAGTATTATTAGTAGTAGTATGATATAATCAAAGAAAGTGAAGGAAACTTAGTTACCGAATAGGAGAAACAAAGGAAAAAATGGGCTGACCACTTCAGAAAACTCTTGAATCGACCACCACCTACAACTCGTCGAGAAATACCACCTGCAACGGCAGAACTACCAGTGAACACAGGCCCTCCGACAAAAGCAGGTGTCCTGAATGCCATAAAACTGCTGAGATTCGGCAAAGCAGCAGGACCAGATGGAATTCCACCAGAAGTACTGAAAACAGACGCAGAGACAACAACGGACACGCTCACCACACTATTGCACAAGGTTTGCAAGGAAGGAAGGAAAGGTACCTACCTATTGGATGGAAGAAGGGCTACCTTGTCAAACTTCCAAAGCAAGGAGACCTAAGTGTTTGCAAGAACTGGAGAGGAATCATGCTTCTGTCCACCCCAAGCAAAATATTATGCCGCATCATCCTGGAGAGACTAAAAGATGCACTGGATTCAAAATTACGACCGGAACAGGCTGGCTTCAGGAAGAACGAGTCATGTGCGGATCAAATTGCAACGCTACGCTACACATTATCATAGAACAGAGTATAGAATGGCAGTCAACTCTCTACCTCAACCTTATCGACTATGAAAATGCCTTCGATAGCATCGACCGAGAAGTAATTTGGCAGTTGCTTCAACACTACGGTTTTAGTGCCACTAATCTTTATCACCCTCATTCAACAGCTATATGAAAAGGCCACATGCCAAGTGATCCACAATGGAAAGCTCAGTGAAGATAGGAGTAAGACAAGGCTGCCACCTCGACTGGATCATGCAACAAACCGTGAGGAGCTAGAAGATGGGCATACGCTGGACAGATGAAAAGAGCCTAGATTTGGATTTCGCCAATGATTTGTGTTTAATGTCGCACAAACTCGAAGATCTACAGGCAAAAACTAACAAGTTGAAAGAAGTGGCAGCGAAGACGGGACTTCAAGTGAATGTAGAGAAGACGGAGGTGATGAAGATACCCAACCAACAACAGCATCAACGACAAGCATCAATCACCATCAAGGGGAGAAACTTAAAGGAAGTAGTCTCTTCCACCCACCTACATAGTCAGGGCAGCATCGTTTCAACTACAGGCGGCGGCACAGACGAGGATGTCAAAACCAGGATGGGAAAAGCAAGACAGGTTTTCACTAATCTGAAATCAGTGTGGAGATCTACCACACTCAGCACAAAGAACAAGATCCGGATTTTGAACACCAATCCAGTCAAGTCAGTGCTTCTGTATGGTTCAGAGACTTGGCGCGTTACGAAAGGGATTTCCAACAAACTACAAACATTGATCAACAACTGCTTACGCTCAATACTGAAGATCAGATAGCCAGAATAATAAGAATAAGCAACAAGGAACTCTGGGAACGAGCTAACCAAGAACCTATTACCCAACAAATATGCAGAAGAAATTGGAGATGGATTGGGAATACACTGAGAAAGCCGACTGGGGACACCACACGCCAGGCCGTCGAGTGGAATCCAAAGGGGAAACGACGAGTTGTGCGTCTGAGCCGAGTGTGACATGGAGGAGATAATGTGAGGAAGAAATGAAAGCTTGTGGGCAGTCGTGGTGCCAGGTTGAAAAGACTACAGAGAACAGAGTGCAATGGAGGCGTGCTACTGAAGTCCTATGTTTTCACTAGGCACCCAAGGGAAAAATAATCATGATACAATCGATGCTGTTATAAACTATCTTAAATTTTGCTTTGGTATTTACTGCTCAGCTGAAATAATCTTTCTAAGGTTTAATAAACCCTTTTCTACTCATTTAAAAAGACTGGAAAGAGAAAAAGAAAAAAAACTGTACAAATCGAAGGAAAATACTGGTGTTAAACTACTTAATTGCTTGATTCAGTTTGAAATAAAGCGCTTAAACTTAATGTATAACCAGTAGATTATGTCATGTAAAAACCCTTCTAGTATATAGAGATTTTTTAATGATCTTACTGGAGAGGGAAAACTCAGAAATGAAACCTGTGACAACGTGTGTGCATATTAATTGAGTCATTCATACGTAAACCTGTGAATGTTATCATATCTAGTTCTTCAAGTATAACAGAATTCAATTTTACTAAATTCAATGAAAGAGATGGGTTCAAATGTCTGAAAACATTAAAACCTTCGCTAAATCCCAGACCAGATGGTGTACCAGGTATTCTTCTTACCAAATATGCTGATATTCTATACCATTCACTCGTAAACATCTTTAATGAGTCTTTTGCTAGAAATGACATACTAACCGCCTGGAAAGAAATTAAAATAGTTCCAGTACCTAAATCTACATCTACTGGAGGTAAAGTGAAATTGTGACCGATCGCAATTACCTCACTTTTCCTAAAAGTAATGGAAAAACTGTTGCTTCGTGCACTTGAACCTCCTTTTCAGAGATCGAAATCAATTCGCCTACAAACCCAGAAGGAATACTTTATATGCTGCAGTTGTTTTACATCATAATATTATTGCCAATCTGGACAAAGGTGTTAAGTGTGTTAGATCTCCCTTCTTAGATTATATTTCTGCTTTTGACTCTATCTCTAGACCTCTCTTATTAAACAAGCTTACCAGTATTCACATTGAGTTCTGAATTGTAAACTGTCTTAATTCATATTTTCCTGAGAGAAGACAATAAACTCTACGCAAAAGGAAATGCACTATTTCAATGGTCAATGAAGCCGGTGTGCCTTAATGTGCCGTTCTTTCTCCTTTCCTTTTCTCTTTCGTTTTGGATGATTTACCAACCTCAACTAAAGCTAACTTTGTTAAGTATGCTGATGACCTGACAGTATCCATGCCGATCATCTCCTCTTCTGATTGTTCTCAGTTTAATAACTTCTTAAAGGAAATTGATTAGTGGTCTTCCTGAAATTGCTTCATACTCAAATCCCTCTAAGTGTTAGATCGTTAATTTTAGCTTAAGACATGAAAAAAGACCTTTGCACATTGCTTCAGTCCCATGACTCTTATAGATGTTGTAGAGAATGTAGTAAGTGTGGTTCATCTTAGCTTATGCTCTTCTTCGGATCTTTCTCGGTCCCCTCATATCTTCCTGATTTTCAGGAAAATCGTTCGCTTAACCTCTTATATAAGGAAACTCACTGTCTAGCATAACTCGACCTCTACTCTCTTGTTTCATGTATTCCTGTATTTTGCTTACACTCACTTCTTGTTCCTTTCTGGATTCCGGAAAAACGACTACGCTGTATTGCGTAGAATTTTGAAGGCTGTTAGTAGAGCAAGTAGTACACCCCTAACCGAGCTGATAAATGCAGTTGTGGATAGGCATCTGAACTCTTGTAGGACTACTGGCTATAAATATCTTATCTGATGATAAGTATAGTCTGCAACCGCACCTCTCTCTATGTCTGTCCTCTAGGTAGACAAGAAGCAAATATATTATAGTACTATGTACGCACAACTACATACAAAAATTCAACCATACCACCTTAGTTGGCTTGTGCATTCTGTGAATGAAACCATGTTAGACATGGCCTTATCCATCAACTTTGCAATACCGAACTGTTATCATGTCCCTAAAGTCATTAAATATTTCAACAATCCTGGTATTCGTAATCTTTTTTTTATTATATATTGTCAAACAGAACCATTTTTAGTGTTTCAAAAATGTTGTACTATGGGTAAATTGATGTAATAGCACACGCTGAGAATTGTGTGCTGTAGACATAACTATGGTGCAGAATAAAGCAAATATATTACTATTGTCATTACGAAACTTTATTTTTTTAACTTTAGACCTACATTGATTGTCTAAATGTGTGAAGCGACCTACTGTTCCCATTATTGTTATTAACTAGATATTTACTCTTTGCCTGGTGTATTTCCTTGTTATCACAGCTTAAAGAAACCACTATGATTGGTTGAGTGTTGAAATAGTGGAAAATATTTTTAGCTTAAGTGTATGGTCTTGGTTGTATTGTGTTCTCTGAGCTGGGTTGTTTAATCGTGAAGAAGCTTTTATCCTCCTTCTAGACGACATCATCAGCACTAACTTCAGTATGAAGTGAGCTGTCAATATCTCTCCGTGAGTGATTTAGTAGCTTGCCCTGACGATGTGGTCCTTGATTGGTTGTTCCCTTCGGTTGTTGTGTCATTGACTGATTGCATAGACTTTCCTTTTGTGTGTTCCTCTGCTTCACCTCTGACCTTTCTGTCGTGTATCATTTTTCTTATTGGTTGATAGATTGGATCTATGTCTATACATCTGTTGATTGCTGATTGACTGACCTGAATGTCAAGCTTCTAGAAATTCTCTGATCATACCCTTTGTGTTTCCTCTTTCCGTCGAGAATCTCTACATTGTCGAAATTGAATTCATGTCCATAGTTGTATCCACGTGCATTGAAATGAATGATGAAATGTCGTGAGGTTTGATAGCCAATCGGTGTCCATGTAGACGAAGGTGAAGAGAGTGACCACTTTGTCCAGTGGTTGAATGTTTTATATATATGAGAAAATCTGTGTATGTAAGCGTAAAGCCTAATGGGAGGTCATTGAAAACAATCTTGTTCGCTTATATATCTTCCTCTAGTTTTAAAAATGGAAAAATTTTTTTTAAAACATAATAACTGATGTGTATATTCTCTTTAAAATTATATACTCTCCCTCATCTTTTGTATTTCTATCCAGGCTCTGATCTAAGTCTAGCTGACTTACTTTTATTTCCACATTTGCATCGATTTGAAATTGTTATTGGTCGAATTAATGGTAAAGAACCAGAAGCTATTCATGAACTAGATGCCAATGATGAATTACGTAATAAATGGCCAAAGCTTATAGGATTTTTGGATATAATGAGAAAGCAGAAATTTGTTGCTGATGTCACTATATCATGTCAACTTCATGCACGTTATGCAGCTGCAATAAATTTAGGTCAGAGTAATCCAGATATAGAATGAGATGTAGGGAAATATTTTTTTCAATTCATCATAGTGATCTAGTAGCTTTGCTTGTAATCCTTTTAGCATTGCAATACTGGGTTGTTAACGAATATATTTTGTTATTGATTAGATTGGATTCATGTGTTACGTATACTTGATGATTTATTGTCTATTCTAGTGTATATTGATTGAATTAAGGTGTCAGGATAGAAGAAATCTATGAATGATCATGTAAAAATAATAAAAAAACATAACATTAATCTTTATGGATTAACTGTGATCATCTCGGTGAATATTCTAGATGCATGATAAAGCTCAGAATTGATCACAGTGTTCCAGATGTTCTGATCCACTTCTACTGAGATTAGATGTAGAGTATTTAGGTGATATGAAGTTACATTACATCCTATCTTATTTATATATTCATTAGAAATTTCGAAGCGTTTTAATTATAAAAGTATTATTCAATAGTCGCGATATAACGCGACTATCGCTCAACGTTTTCAGATGGCATCCATTTCCCTTCCGACTGGTTGACGCTGCAGGTCACGGCTTCTCATTAGAACTTTGTGATACTCATATGGAAGCATGCCACTAATGAGCACTACACAGTAATGAATTTTTGAGGTAGTATTCATCACGGACTGACATCATTTGCAGAACCATTGAAAACCTGGTGGCACTGGACATCTCTTTTGGCCCTGTACGAAACTACTCGGCGATGTACAACCAATAACCAATCAGGGATCGAACCCAAGACCTTCAGGCCTTGTGGTGGGCACGTTACTACTCAGCCACCGGGTGCAGTTCACATTTTCTTACTTCTATTAATTTGGTTTATAACACGACCATCATACAATACCATCGATGAGCATTCTTCCTTAAATCAGACTTGGTTAGCCTTACAGGTAGCCGTTTCTTATTCGGATTACGGGAAATCCATCTCGGAGCATGTCACTAATGAGCAATAGATAATAGTTCAGTCTAGAGGTTTGTAGGGATTGATTAATGTGAGTTTATGATGAATACTACCTTGGAATCAATCAACCTTCGTAGACTTCCTAGCCGAATTGTGTTCACTTTTGATTCGATCTGATAGTAATCAATAATGAAATCGGAATCATCAAGTTTCATTTTATTTTGGACTCATTAGATGGGTATACTTGATGTTAGAAGCTAGTAGTCCTAGATTTTTATCACATTGGGAAGGGATACTAATACAACTTTACAAAATATCCAGTTGATGAGTCCTTACTACCAAAAGAACACAAACGTATTGATTTATTTGTACAAGTGAATGTCATAGGTCTTCAATTTCACCTCTATCTTCAAAAACCTTGGCTGTGACATTGATTGAATCAATAAAGCCATGATAGTCATGACTACTGATCCAAATGCCAAGAGGTCTGATGAATTTATTCCATTGGTAAAATGATGTCAACTTATTGGAGAGAAGTTGTGAAAGGTAGACTATCCAGTATCATTCGGTGAACTAGATGAGAATCGATGTGACTGATGCTAACTAATGTTTGTTCGATTATAATAATAATAATAATGACAGCAATAATAATAACAACTTCAAATTGTTATTCATCGTAGACTGACATCAGTTGGAGGAACAAAGGAAACATGGGAGCACTGGACAGCTGTTTCGTCCTAGTATGGGACTCCTCAGCAGTGCGCACCCACGACCCCACCAGCAGGGATCGAACCCGCGACCTTCAGGTTCCGCGGCCAGCGCGTTACCATTGAGCCACTGGGTCAGTCTTCGATGAATAACAACTTGAAATAATTCCAAATCTCCACAACCCCTCAAAATTTAATTGAACTAGTGCTCGTTGGTGACTAGCTTCGAGAAGTATTCCCGAAGTTCCAATAACAAGTCGTGACCGGTGGAGTCAAAGCCTGATGGCCGTGAGGACAAATACTCAACGATGACATTGGGTGGCGGTCTGCGCTATATCGTGAGCTAACAGAAGTTGGAAATATGGAGCATTGGATTCTGACCCAGTGGCTCAATGGTAACGCGCTGGTTGCGGAACCTGAAGGTCGCGGGTTCGATCCCTGCTGGTGGGGTCGTGGGTGCGCACTGCTGAGGAGTCCCATACTAGGACGAAACAGTTGTCCAGTGCTCCCAGGTTTCCTTTGTTCCTCCAACTGATGTCAGTCTTCGATGAATAACAACTTGAATTAATTATAAAAGTATTATTCAACAGGTAAAAGAATAAGGCTACTGAATATCAATTAAATCTTACCCATGTGTAAATTTATCATTGAATATAACATGGATAATAGTTCCAAGTAAATCGACTGAAAAAATATATTGGTATAATGGAATTCTACAGACTTTTGTTGAACAACATCAAAGCGTTAGAAGAAGAAAAGTAACAGGTGGAATTAGTGATGAATGAATCCAATACACAACATATCAAAACTTTTGAAAAAAATGAAACATCTCGTTCAATCATATGGTCATTCCACCAAACCACCAACAGAAGATGAGGTTTCCACAGGACTGTCGATTTGGGACCGATAACGCTGACCTGTTGGGTGGTCCATTTGGTAAATTATCTTACAAGTTGTTATCAAGTCACCCTGCTTCCTTCGATAGCCTAATGTGAACTAGTTGAGTTGTCTGAGGTGTTGAAATTATGTTAACCTGTTAGTTTGACAACCAATCCTGTCACTCTTCTCTGTACCTTCTCGAGACTATTTGCCTCTCTATTAGTGGTGGGGCTATCGTGTTGAATACCTCTAGGTGTTGTCTAACATAGGTTTCAAATACCACGGGTAATAATTCTGGGGTTAGTGCACCAAGTTGCCTTCTTAAAAGGGGCACGACAGAGTTCACCTTTGCTGCCATTCCCTTACAGTTGTCAGCAGTATCCAGTGTCAGAAAACTTTAGTCCCAGGTCCTTCTCTGTGGATACTTCGGTGATTACAAACTTGTTGAGGGTGCACCTGGCTTTCATCGCCTTGAATTTCTTCAGGTTAAAGTGTAAACCATTTACAGCTGACCAGGACCCCAGCTGCGACGGATCGTCTCGGGGTTTTCTAGGATCCTCTTCCTTACCTATTGTCTTCCATATTTTGATTTCGTCTACAAGTAGGACGGCAGACAAGGAGATTTTAATGGGAAGGTCGCTTATGAATAGCAAGAATAGGATGGTCAAAGGATCACTCTTCGAGAGACTCCAGTTCTTGCGCTCCTCCAGGCTGATCGAATTCTGTTTCCTTTAGTACAGAATTCTGTGTCTCCTAGGTATGTTGTAAACCATGTTATGAGTGGTTCACTGAAATCCACCTTTGCTGGTTTGGCGAGCATGGTGTAGTGTGGGACACTATCGAATGCCTTAAGCAAGATAAAGTGGGCCGGTTCCTTGTTGTCCCATTTGATGATGATGATGACGAATTAATGCTATCCTTTGCCGTCACAGCACTATACACATCCATCAAAACCCCAAATGACCAAAGAAACTATGTCCGTCCTGCTCAGTGAAGACACAAGCCTCTAAGAACGCACAAAACTTAAATGATTAACTCTGAAGGAACATATTGATTTTGGATAATGTAATTAGAAGACGTAGATTATCTGAAAAATGTGATGTATTAGCGCCATACATTTCGAACAATCTGATTACACATTTACTTGTTAAGGCAATTTTATATGAAAACTGGAAGTGGGGGAAGGATACATATGACATAAAGGAATTCAATAATAAGGAAGATAATGAGAGGAATAAAAGATAAGACTTGAAGACAATCTTGGTAATACGATAAAATAAGCATTACCAAGGTAGGCTTAATGTAAGGACAAACTGTTTTTGCACACACACAATGGGGGTTAAATTTATTTATGGCTAGCGCCTCAACAAACTTGAGTATACGCCCCTGACAGTTTCTGTACAGAATTGTAAAGGCCGTTTTGATATCAATTCTGTGACTTTTATCAATGATATGTTTCGCAATGGATGATGATGGTTGTCTGCCATCTGCGCTTATCAATGTTTGTGAATCCAGCTGCTTTCGTAGTCACTTTGGAACATGTTCCCCTACCCTCAAGTGCATATCACGATTCGTCCTCCCTATGTATGTTTGTCCACACACACATGTAAATTTATAAACGCAGTGGGATGTGACACAATCGTTTATACAGCGTTGAGGTCTAGGTAGCAGCAGGTGTTTGGTCTTCTCAACTATGATAAGCTTAGCTGCATAGTACGTTTTGCTAACAGCAGACCTTAACCTTCGTTTTAATATTATGCTATTAGATTCTCCTCTGTATGGTAACGCGATGTAAACGCATTTCTTCGAAACAGAGTACAGATCAGGTTTGAATCCTCGCTGATTTTTGCAGCGGTTTATGAACTTCAATGGATATCCATTTTCCACTAATGTTTCCGTTAGTATTTTGATATCATCATCCATTGAGTCCTCCGTACAAATACGCTGGATCCTTTTAAATAGACAAGTTACCAAACCTCGCTTGTATTGGGTTGGACAAAAGCTATGGAAACTTAAATACTGACCTGTCCAAGTAGGTTTCCTGTAGATCGACCGTTTTATTGAACCATCATTTCTACGACTTAGGAGTATATCCAAGAATGGCAGACGGTTTTCTTTTTCTTCTTCACTTGTCAGGCTTATGTTGTTTTGTACGTTTCTAACAAACATGTCGCATCTTCATGCTTATCACATATCACGATTATATCATCAGCATATCTTTTATAGAGAGTAACTTTATTGATGAGATCGCCGGTCAAGCCCTCAATGTGTGACATGTAAATATCAGCTAGCAATGGTCCTAAGGACTTCCCATAGCCACACCATCTATTTGTCGAAAATGTTCACCTTCAAATGTGAAATGAACTTTATCAGTACACAATAATAACAGCTCTCTCAAACACGTTGAGGGGATAGGGAAAGAAGGATTACTGGAAGATATATGGTCACAAAGAATGTCAATGGTTTTAATTAGGGGTACATTAGTAAATAAGGAGTTGACATCAAATGAATACAATCTCTTATCTTTGATATTAATATCACTGACATAATTAACAAGTTCAAAAGTATCTTTTAAAGAAAACTTACATAAATCATTTCGAATAGGAATTAGAGTTTTTGCTAACCATTTCGCCACTTTATGTGTAGGTGAACGGAACATGGAGAGTATAGGACGTAAAGGATTATCTGTTTTATGAATTTTAGGCAATCCATACAGATTAGGTAGCTCAGACCCCATTGGTTTGAGGGAAGCAAATTCTTCCTTGTTGATAACATTGATATTCAGGAGTTTTACTAGACTAGATGTTACTTTGCATTCTAATTTTCTAAGGTCGTCTGATGGAACATCAGCCATAAATTTACTTTCATCGCTAAGGATGGACATCATCTTGTTTTTGTAATCACATTTGTCCATCACAACCACACCCGACCCTTTATCGGGTTTGAGAATGATTATATCAGATCTATTTCGAAGTGCTTTTACAGTCCTTTGACAGCTTCTTTTTTGTCTTCTCCTTCGATTGAATGATTACAGAACTACAAAAATTGACGGACATGACATGACAAATTAATGAAATATCAGATAGTACACACGAAGAATGAACATGAAGTTCAACTAATCCATTTAACTTCTCACTGCAACTATCAATATGAGATTTAGCGAGTCGAACGGGTTCGAGATATTTCGTTGCGATTTTGCGAAATAGTCCCTTTTATGAATTTGGATAATGTAATTAGATGTAGATTTTCTAAAAAATGTGATGTATTAGCGCTATACATTTCGAACAATCTGATCACACATTTACTTGTTAAGGCGTTATATATGAGAACTGGAAGTGGGGGAAGGACACATATGACATATGACGGAGGACTCAATGGATGATGATATCAAAATATTAACGGAAACATTAGTGGAAAATGGATATCCATTGAAGTTCATAAACCGCTGCAAAAATCAGCGAGGATTCAAACCTGATCTGTACTCTGTTTCGAAGAAATGCGTTTACATCGCGCTACCATACACAGGAGAATCTAATAGCATAATATTAAAACGAAGGTTAAGGTCTTCTGTTAGCAAAACGTACTATGCAGCTAAGCTTATCATAGTTGAGAAGACCAAACACCTGCTGCTACCTAGACCTCAACGCTGTATAAACGATTGTGTCACATCCCACTGCGTTTATAAATTTACATGTGTGTGTGTGTGGACAAACATACATAGGGAGGACGAATCGTGATATGCACTTGAGGGTAGGGGAACATGTTCCAAAATGACTACGAAAGCAGCTGGATTCACAAACATTGATAAGCGCAGATGGCAGACAACCATCATCATCCATTGCGAAACATATCATTGATAAAAGTCACAGAATTGATATCAAAACGGCCTTTACAATTCTGTACAGAAACTGTCAGGGGCGTATACTCAAGTTTGTTGAGGCGCTAGCCATAAATAAATTTAACCCCCATTGTGTGTGTGCAAAAACAGTTTGTCCTTACATTAAGCCTACCTTGGTAATGCTTATTTTATCGTATTACCAAGATTGTCTTCAAGTCTTATCTTTTATTCCTCTCATTATCTTCCTTATTATTGAATTCCTTTATGTCATATGTATCCTTCCCCCACTTCCAGTTTTCATATAAAATTGCCTTAACAAGTAAATGTGTAATCAGATTGTTCGAAATGTATGGCGCTAATACATCACATTTTTCAGATAATCTACGTCTTCTAATTACATTATCCAAAATCAATATGTTCCTTCAGAGTTAATCATTTAAGTTTTGTGCGTTCTTAGAGGCTTGTGTCTTCACTGAGCAGGACGGACATAGTTTCTTTGGTCATTTGGGGTTTTGATGGATGTGTATAGTGCTGTGACGGCAAAGGATAGCATTAATTCGTCATCATCATCATCAAATGGGACAACAAGGAACCGGCCCACTTTATCTTGCTTAAGGCATTCGATAGTGTCCCACACTACACCATGCTCGCCAAACCAGCAAAGGTGGATTTCAGTGAACCACTCATAACATGGTTTACAACATACCTAGGAGACACAGAATTCTGTACTAAAGGAAACAGAATTCGATCAGCCTGGAGGAGCGCAAGAACTGGAGTCTCTCGAAGAGTGATCCTTTGACCATCCTATTCTTGCTATTCATAAGCGACCTTCCCATTAAAATCTCCTTGTCTGCCGTCCTACTTGTAGACGAAATCAAAATATGGAAGACAATAGGTAAGGAAGAGGATCCTAGAAAACCCCGAGACGATCCGTCGCAGCTGGGGTCCTGGTCAGCTGTAAATGGTTTACACTTTAACCTGAAGAAATTCAAGGCGATGAAAGCCAGGTGCACCCTCAACAAGTTTGTAATCACCGAAGTATCCACAGAGAAGGACCTGGGACTAAAGTTTTCTGACACTGGATACTGCTGACAACTGTAAGGGAATGGCAGCAAAGGTGAACTCTGTCGTGCCCCTTTTAAGAAGGCAACTTGGTGCACTAACCCCAGAATTATTACCCGTGGTATTTGAAACCTATGTTAGACAACACCTAGAGGTATTCAACACGATAGCCCCACCACTAATAGAGAGGCAAATAGTCTCGAGAAGGTACAGAGAAGAGTGACAGGATTGGTTGTCAAACTAACAGGTTAACATAATTTCAACACCTCAGACAACTCAACTAGTTCACATTAGGCTATCGAAGGAAGCAGGGTGACCTGATGACAAGTTGTAAGATAATTCACCAAATGGACCACCCAACAGGTCAGCGTTATCGGTCCCAAATCGACAGTCCTGTGGAAACCTCACGGAGAAACGAAGAAAATTACTTGGTGTCTATTTTAAAAAAAACGGCTACCTACGAAACTTCATCAGAAGATGCCTAATCCCGTACATCATCAACTATAAAGTCATCCATATAAATCAAGAGACGGGTCATCATACCCTTCATCAAGAATACATCACAGATCACAACGAGACTATTGGTGTGGCTTAAAAACCAATAAATTCCCTTCAGATCCTATTGAGCAGACCAAAGGATACATTAAGCAAAGAAGACAAACCGAATATCATTTACAAAATCAACTCCAATAACTGTAGTCAACACTACGCAGCAAAGTTGACAGTTTCTCATAGAATTCACCCTTTGTATAATCCAAACTACAGTCGGTGGGTGCGTAGGTGGGGACTGCGGATCGGGATCGCCTAGTCTTACAGGTCCATTCAGTCGGACAGCACATGGACGGCTGTTTACTCGAATCCAGTCGGAGATCATTTCCTGCTCTACAAGTTAATGCTTTGCCTACACCACGAGATACTCTTAATATGAATTGCGAAGATTCACTACTATGTCTAGGTAAGGTCAACTTAGTAACCACACTCAGGTCCCGTATATGAGTCTTAGAGATACAGCCTAAATCCATGGTTACAGATTACAGTTCTGGCGATGCTTGCTGTCCGGTTTGGTATAGAGTTCGGACGTTGAGAGTTCCCACATAAAATCGATGACGGGGTCTTAGAAGACTAGGAATGAAGTTTCCATGGCTTTGATCGCCGGCAATGGTTGCAGAGTGAAAGGTTGGAAGAGTTTAATACTAATTTCAGGAGGTGAAGGCAAAGGAGTAGACAGAGTTTAGGTTATGTTTGATTGGGTCTCGAATACTACTGGAAGCGTGAGGACAGTTGATACTTCCTAGTTGTCCACACCGTGAAATGCTATTTTTTTTCAAGGGTACTTGAAAAAGAACAGATAGTGTGTGACCGCAGAGTTCATGTGACATCTGCTTCAGGCCGGTCACACATAACCTTTTGGCAATTTCGGTGTTTGCTTTTGAATCCAACTAGAAACTGCTGTTGCATGCATCGGCACACCGCGAAGAGATGGGGTGTGTAATTTTTTCTAACTCTACTTTCCGTTTGAAAGGTGGCATCAGCATTGCAATGCTGGTCATCCAAGGGCAACACCTTACCGCTGTCACACTTCATCCAACTAGCAGCAGTACAACTTCGCCCTCAGATCCCATCATAGCGTAGTAATTTACACTAAAGTGGTAACTGCTTTTCGTCTTACTACTATCCAACAGACCTTTCTAGGATGGTAGGACCTCGAGGGAAAAAATCTTCCATCAACATAGCTCGTTGGGTTATTGTGACATGCAAGCTCGATCACCATGTCAACGTAGTAGCTATCGGTAGGGACAAGATATGTGTAAATAAACACTGAAGTCAATAAATGAAAAAAATAGTCATTTATTATATATGTACACTGGAAACAATTTGTGATACCATTGCATCAAGCAAACTGACAGCTTGTTCATAGAGTCCTTCACCAGTGGAAAACCTTGAAGACTCAGGATCGTCGTTTAGTGAATCTGGAATTTGTATTGCTTCTAAGAAATTTCGAACTGGTATGTGAAGTGAGGTTCCATTGTTTTTTTCAGTTCTTGTACAAGGTGTCTGACCAGTATAGACAGCAAAAATACTAGGTTCATTGGTACTTTTCTTCTTCATGCACAACTTTGGATGAGTGACATCCACCGCGAATGTGATCACTAAAACAAAGGAAAGGTATAAATGTCAAACAAAACCAACATATAAACTAGCACATAAGTCCATTGCTTTAAGTTGCCACAATCCTATATAGTACACAAAAAACAAGGATTAACAATCCGAAAATAACTGTTAGTGCAATAATTATGCTTTAGAGAGCGTCAAAAAGTGAATATATCTGCACCACTGAGACCGATTTTCAGCCCTGTCACCAACAGTCCTTAACCATCGTCTCGGGAACCCCAATTAGGCAGTCTACATCGCTCGACGCGATTTAGAACAACAATTCGAAACTTTGTGGGCTGGCGCCAGGTCGTATTCTGGCCACCCTGAATCCTCTTTTAACTTCCCCTAGCATGGTTCATTGAGGCAGGCGGCTACTCAGCATGCGCAGTACATGCACAAGCCATCTCTTAGTCGGTGAAGATGCACAATCTCAATAATCGACTTGCCTAGTTTCTTTCTGACCTCAACATTCCTCACAGGGTGATTCCACCAAACGCGAGGAATGCTACAGAGACATCTGTGAACAAAATCCTCTAAATGTTTCATGTCTTCTACCCTTAAACCCAGTCGTATAACAGGACAGAATAGACTGCAGTGCAGTATACTCGTCTTTTGATAGGTAGTCTGATATCTCGCCAGTCGATGCGACAGACGACACAGGTTAGCAAATGCCGAACGAGCCTTCGAATTGATGCTTCAACTTAAGGTCATTCTATGTTATCAGTAAAAGCGTTTACGGCGTCACCACCATATATGGAAGGTGTCAGGAGACTCATACAGGATTCATTGTATAGGATGTATTTTTACTTGTGTAATCCCGGCGTAGTATATTAGAACAAATAACAAAATAAACAAATATTTTGTATTATTCCTCAACGTTTCCATCTTGGTAGGAAGATCCTTTTCAAGAGTATGATTCTAACATTAAGTTTTCAGGTTAATATTCAAGTTTTGGTACACAAAGTTGGGACCTTTACAATCATCCAATTACATAGTGATATGGAGCAAACATCAATGTAATACAGGTGAGTGAATAAGCAACTCGGTCAGAGAGGTTTTTCCGTTGTGCCAGTAAGGTGGGACAAAAAAATACGGTGGGTAAATTTTTTAGTTCGTCTATGAAAAGTACAATCGGGTTGTGAGACATCAAGGGTGAGAAAGAATAGATTACTAGTTTGGAAGGATGAATATTTGAAGATGAGACAATATATCTTAAATAAATAATAATAATAACCATAAATGTACTTTTGATAACACTTGAAGTATGAGTAATAACGAAATGGATTATATTTTGAGGGGGTTGTGGAGATTTGGAAATATTTCAAGTTGTTATTCATCGAAGACTGACATCAGTTGGAGGAACAAAGGAAACCTGGGAGCACTAGACAGCTGTTTCGTCCTAGTATGGGACTCCTCAGCAGTGCGCTAACAGAAGTTGGAAATATGGAGCATTGGATTCCGACCCAGTGGCTCAATGGTAACGCGCTGGTCGCGGAACCTGAAGGTCGCGGGTTCAACCCCTGCTGGTGGGGTCGTGGGTGCGCACTGCTGAGGAGTCCCATACTAGGACGGAACAGCTGTCCAGTGCTCCCAGGTTTCCTTTGTTCCTCCAACTGATGTCAGTCTTCGATGAATAACAACTTGAAATGGATTATGTTATGGTTCATCGAATGTATGTGACGCAGAGAGTTGTGTAAAATTGATGAAAATAGTATATCAATAAGGTGTATGTAATAGGGCTAGACAATCTACTTTCTCTTCAGATAATATTTATAACTGCCTAGGCGAGTCATTAATGTTTGCCATATTAGTGGAATGTCTAACCCATCTTTTCTGTTGACCGAAGAAGGATATGAGCAGATGTGCAAAGCTTTTGCAATGGTCCGCTCTTTGTGAGAGAGAAAACCCTTTTGCAGAACTTTTGTCTGTTCGAATGATATTTTATGACCTGAATATAGGGCATGAGTTATGATAGCAGAGCTTTTTTCAAGTTTTTCTAGATCATAGGAATTTTTTGGTGTTCGGCTAGACGTGTTAGTACTTGACGTGATTCTTAATGGGGCAGGGATTTCGGCGGCACTTAAAAATCTAATAAGGAACAAGTTTTGTAGATTAAGGGATTTCCTATACAGCTCATTCTACAAAATTTGTTTCATCGAATTCCCCTGAACGATTGCGTGGTGTTACGTAGATCCAAATGGTCAACCAGGGTTAAAATAGAATACCACAGCAAAAACTTGGCGAAATCTAGACTGAGAGACCCTATTAAGATAATAAAAGAGGAGAAAAACTCAGCTATAGCATTACAAACAATCACTGAGTAGGATGGAATAGATTTATGGTTCTTAAAACTACCTTATAAACAGAAGGAAGGGGATTGATAACTGGAGCTTCGCCTATCGAATCAACATTTGACAAAAATGACTCAGCACCTGTTCCAGATATTTGCAAAATTCTACCATTTATATGACAAATGAAGGATCAGGAGGAGAAATAGAACTATAAAAAGTCAGGGTGTAAGAAGATGCAGAGTTACTTTACATAGGAATATGAACAACAATGAATTGTGTCTGAAATGTTATCCGGTAGATAATACTTTCACTGAGAAATAACCAAAAATCAAACTGACATGGAATCAACAGTTAAAGAGTTAATTCATGGACTTGTGTCATGTCCTAGATTGACAACTCGGCGTTCTTTTAACCGAAACTCTCACCAGCTATCATCGCACGTCGAAGTAGGTGGTGCCTTGACATGCACAACACACGTCCAAGTACTGTCAATTACTGACGGTCCACACCGCCAACTGAAGTGCCATTTTTGCCTAGTATTCTACACTCAATCTCAACATTGCTTGCATGATGGCTTTATCATAATAAAGCCAGTCTTACAAAAACACCTCTAGTCTAGAACCCTTAATTTCTTCCTATCTTCTACTTTGGACGCTCATTTTAAACAGCCATGTGATAAGGCAGGACGAACCGCATCATAGTATACTCGTCCCTAGATGGGTATCATTCATCTTGGCTGGGCCAGAGATGATGTAATGACGCTCCGGACCAGTCTGGCGGGGAATCTTGATTCCTATAAACTACTTAGCACTTTCATTACGGCATTCAGTAATTTTTTCAGTTTCTTCTTTAAAGACTTAAGGTAGCAAACCATCAGGATATGCTGCTTTGCATCGTTTTAGATTTAAAATAGTCTTATCACCTTTGAAGTGAGTTTAAGAGTCGACATCTACGTCTCACTCCGGTTTGATCAGGATGCCAGCCAAACAAGTCGTGACTATAGACTACCTGAAGTGTTCATGAAAATGTTCCGTCCAACATTCTAGCCACTAGTCTTGAGAGGTAATCACGAACCCAGTTTCTTCATGGATGGTTTCACCAACCATCACCTTCTTCGTACCGATTTCCTCAACAAGCCTGGATAATTGTCGAGTGTTACCTAATACTACTGTTAGCCTTCGTCAGCAAGACTAACAGTCATCTAAGTCTAAGCCGCTTTCGCTCTTCATCGTGGTCAGAGCCTGATTTCATACTTATTGCCAATCATCAAGCATACATGTTTCCTCAGATTATTCTACAATCGAAGATTTATTCACTGACCACTTGATTGGTCATTTATGATTCAGCAATAATAGAGCTGTGGCTCAGTGGTTTAGAGGGATGACTATCAACCAGTGAGTCGTGGAGTTCGAACCCCGCCCCACCTACCGAGGTGTGGGCAGCCAGGTAGTACCATCAATGGCCCTCACACAGGTGTGGCTCAGTGCCTGCTGCACGGATGTGCACAAGGTGGCTGAGGGCGTTTCAGTTCGATTCAACAACAACATCTAGGCTTTCGTACTAAAGTATAGACTACATAAGTTTATTAGAGATTACGAAACCATCCTGGAGCTTACTGAGTGTGGTTGTAAACACGACCAAATGTTCCTTAACCCTACCTACCTGCATCAATGAATCAGTTAGTCAACAATAAAGTGAAACTTGGGATTCAGTGTAACAGTTCAAGTTGCCACATCAGCACATTCAGCTCCACTAAATAAGCAATCTAACCTATTCTTCTTACCATAAAAAGTAAATATGAAGTGCTACTTATTAAAAAAACAGTTCAGTCCTTGAAAATTTGGTCAACTCTGGACATCTGGCTCCATCAGAGTCCTCCATCAGCATCATTTACTGAGTCAAACGGAATAGTTCAAAAGGAGTACGCTTTCGACAGTTGTGTACACCAGAAGCACTAGCAATTCAAGCCTGATCTGTGTGCAGAAAACAATATACAATACAAAAAGAAACACACTCGCAACAACTGGGCACAACTCTCGATCATAAAAGTCAAATTAAGAGGTGGTTAGTGGCCAGGTATTGTAGGTCAGTTTGTGAAGCATCGGGTCGCTGGTTCTAATAAAGCCATAGCTTAAATTTTCCTCTTGCCTTCAACCATCCCTGTATGGTTAAAACCAGTTTCCTGAAACAACGGCTCTCTCTTATGTAGTTGCATCAATAATATTATTATGTTCATTCTTAACAGTATCATAATAAAGGGCGAAATAGTATACTTATGCTTACTTGCATTGTGAATTGTATGACATACCGCTGCTATTGTTGCTCGTAATGGTAGACCTGATAATAAGAGGGCAAGTGAAATTGCATTTATAGCTGCTGCCACTGTTCTCGGGTCATTAGTGTGACCAGTGACAATAAACAGTCGTCCTACAAACTGAAGATGAAAACAAAAAACGGGTTTATAGAGGAAGCCTATCATAAGGGCATCAAGATCAACATAGGAACAGGCGTTACTGCGTAGCGATCCAAGTTAACAGGCAGCTACGGTGTATTGTAATACGAAATTATAATCCCAGGGTTACGGATAATCATATATATATATATATATATATATATATATATATATATATATATATATATATATATATATATATATATATATATATATATATATATATATATACGATTTTCAGCATCATTCACCTAAAGTACATAATACTAAAGCTCAGCACCCTCGTAAAAGCAATCTTGAGTTGCTAACTGAATAGTTAATAAGCTCCAACGGGACTTGAAAAATAAAGAATGCTTCAATCCACTGCAATTAACTACAGAAACAGACATAACATGGAGCCTTGAACATAATTGTATGAATTTAAGTTGCCGCACACTTTACAGAGAAAGTTGATAGCAAAATAACGACATTGAAGTAGACAAAAGCGTATGAAACTAGAGGGAATACACACACAGACACACATACACAGACGAATGTTCAAAACTATGAAAATGTCAAAAAGTGTATACATTCGCACCATTGTGAAGGATTTCAAGCTATATCACCAAACGTCTCTGACCGCTGGCTTTTATCATCTGCAGGACTCCAATCAGGCACAGTTTAAAATTGCGTGCACGGCTCAGATTCACAGTAAAAGACTCTAGTGGATCAGTGCCATGCATCTAATTGTGATAAAGGATCTTTATAGAATACCACATTCAAAGAAATCCTTTCTACGAAGTAATGAGATAATCACTTTGACTGGAATGTTCTCTGTTACGAGTAACTCTATTCGTCAGACAAATTCGAATGTATTCAGCCATCTCATGTAATTGCTGAACAAACCGAGGATAAATACCATTCCGGAAAATGTACACAACATTTTATCCTGATACTTTATTCAATGACTAAATGTCTTCTGTCAGAAAAGTTTCACCGACCACAGGAAAACAATCATCTAGTACCATTTAAACAATAATGTTTTTGAGGGTGGCTCGGTGTTTTCTGAGCCTTGATATTTTGTGTACATTTCACCACCAGGCTTGGTGACATCCTCACCACTAACTTCATACAGAAGTCCTGTTGTTGCTCAACAATTAATCCTGAGGTTTTCAATGTAGACTCCAAAGAAACACAGAAATCAAGTTTGTCTGCATTTCCAGTGTTGTCGTTCAGTCCCTTTTGAAGTAAACCTTATTTGACCGTAGACAGTAGGCATTCTGAAAGACTCACTACCCATTTACCTTTTAACTCCTTCTCTGTTAGTTGTGATAGCTTGTGTAGTTTGTCATCCAACTTATGCCTCCTCTTCTCGTCTTCGGTTTCAGTTACTATATCGATGGCTGCTGTTAATTTGATCATCATATCTGCTTCGATGATTAGTTCCAATATTGGTTGTTGAGAAGTAATAACGTTGTTGAATTTGCTATGCAATCTTCCATCCAGTAGGAAGGTTGATCGGTGGTCTGTATCAAACACTTTGCGGCAAGATGTTCCGCCGTAAACATTCGTGTAAGAAGAAAGGCTGCTCTCGAGTGGAAGCTCTTCGACCAACGAAGTTCTCCCATTTCTGAGTACAGAGAAGAGCGTAGCCCTTAAAAGATTTTGAAATAATGGAAGAGATTTGTAGCTTAGGATGAGGATGATGGTGCATTGGCGTTCTCTGAGCTTTGATATTTTGTCGTGAACAGGCAGGCTTGGTGACATCCTCAGTAATAAGTGTCTGTTGATTGCACTTGTAAAGAATTCCCTTCATTGCATACATGATAGTCTTAAGAATTACGCTCAGATAAAGTAAAATATACTTTTTTCTGATCTCCTAGGTCATAAATTTCACGAACAAAAAAAGGGATGAACAGCATAAAATATCTACGTACTTCTGAGCTATACATAAACACCATAGACTTTATAAGCTTTTGCTAGTGGGTGGAACAGTTTGCGACCCGATGAATTTAGCATCGACACTATCAGACCAGAAGATATATACGGTATAAAAACATTCAAGAGGCTGTAAATAGAATGCACGTGTAATTTTTCTGCTTTCGGGCGATATCCTTGACATTCGATGCTACATAAAGTTGGATTAGGTTAGAAGAGAGTTCAGGATGACTAAAAAAAAACCTGGCACTAGTCGTTAAAGTCTCTGACTGTTGGTCTGAGTCATGTGGGGGAAATGTAAACTGCCTAGGTAGGGTCTTCTAGACGATAGCAATCAGTGAATGAAGACCCTTGGTTAAATGGCTGAAAATAGGTCACAGTGGAGCAGATGTATTCACTCCCTGACGTTTTCTAAAGATTGGATATTTGCACTAACTGCTATCGTCAAATTGTTTATTGTCTCACACAACTTTTTCTGCTTTGGTGTTGGTCTTTTTCTATTCACATGCCCTTTGTATGCTACTGTGGAGTGTGGCAATTTGGACCGATGCACTTGTGTGCGAGGCTCTACGTTGATTTTGTCTGTCTATCTGGTCGTTTTGTTTGAACTGATTATTAGTCTATCATTTCAGCTTTCTTTAAAATGCTCATTTACTCAGTTTTGTTTTATTCTTCTTCGATCTATCAAACAGGAAATTCCAGTGTATTGTTCAGAAGCATCAACAAATGTGCACACGTAGTCACAACTATTCATAACCTCTCTCCAGCTGACAGTATCATACGACTTTTAAAAAATAAGTATGTATGAAATCAAAAAGTGAGATAATTACACATTACTGTAGGTAAACTGATAACTGGTCTTCATAAGAATATAAATCGTGCCTTCTAGCTGTTCTAAAGTTGAGTGATATCCATCTTAACACCAAGCTTACGCCAGAATATCAAATTTATTGCCAATTTATAGATATCTAAATCAACTTAGATTTCAGTAGTTCGAAAATACTTGGAAATTGCGTACAAAATTTTCATTATTTTGTGATTTCTATAATCTACAATATACAACCTTATGTATGATAACTCAATCAAAGTTGTTCTGTACAGATGATTCTGAGTTATCAATTAGTTGAAAAAGTTACCTGGACATACGCATTGTGTAAATTATGTGAAGTAAATATTGAGGTTTGCACGTGAACATATGATCATAGTTTTTACCACACGAGTGTTCATTATGTCAGTTTCTCGGAGTGGATTGAAACGAAATCAAGCAATATTTCATTCCCTCATTCCTATTTAGACAATTTCGATTCCAATTCATGGGAAGAGATTCTGCTATGAGGCGTTTCTTGTAATTTCTTAAACCTTTCCCAAAAGTTGCTGCTAACTATTATCCACCATTAATATCAAAATTGTGATAGGCAATATTGAAGCATCGGAACAGGGGCCCATATGCCAATAGAGACCGATCAATTCAGTCCAATCAACGACACGATAATACAGCCAACAACATAAAAATTATATCCATCGCACAAGAAGTGACTATCATGACTCAGTGGTCTAGTGGATAACGCCCTGGAGCTTGAAACGATCGGTCTCGGTTTCGAGTCTCAGAGGGGACAACATCGCTCACTGGAAGGCAGGTGCATCCAGCTTCATCATCAGTACCAACATAGGACTAGGCATTACTGCGTAACGGTCCGACTTGCCACGCCTCATATCAGTCAGTGCATCAGGTAAAAAGGCAGTGAACTGCAAGATGGAGAATGAGAAAATGGTGAGATTCGGTATAGCGTCGTTAAGATGAGGTTAATGTGTGGGGATACATCTGCGTCACTGACATCGGCTCTCAGTCATATTATCACCTAGAGTCTCCAACCACTGGTTCCTCTTGTCCCACCGACCCCAACCGGCTAGTCTACATCGCCCCACATGGCTCAAACCAACAGTTAAACACTTCATACATTGGTGCCATGTTTTAGTCTGGGCACCTCGAGCCTTTTTCCAGTCTGGACCTATTTCGGCCAACATTGTGTGATGAGGTAATCAGCGACTAGGTATACGTAATACGTGTCTCAATCATCTGAGTCCATGAAGGTTCATAACCTCGTCAACTGATTTACCTTTACTCCCTAAAACTCTACACCTGACTTCTACGTTACTCATGTGGTGACACTACGGAATACGGCCTTCACTACGAAGGCAACAGTGGTCAAACACCTCAAGCCTTCTCATGTCTTCCACGTTGAATGTCCATGTTTCACAGCCATAGAGTAGAACAGGGCGGACTGCTATCCAGCTGCAGTACACGCGACCCTTAATAAACAATCGGATATCACAGTGGCGCCATAGGTGGCGTAAGTTGGCGAAAGCCAGCCAGCCAGCCGAGCCTTTTGTATTCGTGCAGAGATTTCATCGGCCAGTGAGCCAGCCACCAGGGTAGGGGTGATCCTACTTCCCAGGTAAGTGAAGTGGTCGACACACTCAATCACTACACTCGCTCTCTATTATTAGCCGTGGCACTGTTGAAGATCAATCGTGGAGCAACAATTCGTATTTGGGTGGTGAGAACTGCATCCCAAACATTCTCAAATTCCCACTCAAAGTTATCAGAAGGCTTTGCATCTTGTCAGCGTCTTCACTTAACAGGACTATGTCATCTACATATTCTAGGTCTAACGAAAATTCTCCTATGATTATGTCAATGTCTGTGTAATCAGGTGACGACAGGGAGACCGTGAGAATATCTATGATAAAACTGAATAAGAATGGGGACTGGGCACCCGTCAAGGGTGCCCATAGCTTGAGTCCCAAAGTAGATTAAACGAGCGCCCTAGACTCCACTGCTAGACACTATCCATCAGTAATATAAACCCTTTCTCAACAGTTTCAGCATTGTCAAAGTCAACGCTGTGGTGTGAAATTATAGCGTGCTGAGCTATGGCTCAAGGGTTGTCAGGCTGTCTAGAATTTACTTAATTTTCAGGTGGTCGGATGAAAGCTCCTCAGTGTTAATTTTTCTGAATCTTGATTTCAAAATAAGTCTGTCCCAAGTATACAGAGTCGCAATCTGAGCAGTTTATTTTACAAACCTAACTAGGTCGTAGATCCTGTGTAACTTTGTCCTTTAGAATAACCAAAGAGCTTCTTAGCGTTTGATATTCTGTTGGACACATAATGCACTTGTTCAAAAGTTTCTTAACCCCATTTGAGATGCGTCACCTCCAAGAGCTAAATTATAATGTTGTAACCCATGGTTTAGAAACAATTATTCGGTTTAATTTACCGATATTTTCAACTTCGTAAAGAAAGTTTACTGGATAGTTATTAATTTTAGAGATTTTGGTGACACACTTTAATTCCTTATTTTCTCATCTTCACCCGTTATCACAGTGTGTGCTCTCTCTAGTCTTCCCTTGAATTATAGTAAGCTATGACAGGCCTAGACATAATTTCTTATTTCCTAGACTCAGACACAAACTCTGGTAAAAAGATGTCCATACACTACCAGTGAAATCATCAAAGCATTTAAATTCTGCTTAGAAGAAAGTGATTACTTTAAATTAGGGGAAAACTATGCAGACAGAGATTTGTGCAGTGATGCAGTGTCACGGAATGAAATCTAAATATTTGTTCAAATGTGTTATTCTTCTGTATACAGTCGTGTTCATGTCTTGTCATCTTTTTGAACTAACTGAGAACGTAAAACTTTGTACAGAGGAACTTTGATTCTGCTTTCATATATAAGCTTCGATATTTTAAGTCGCTTTTACCTGTGCAAGCGTCAAACACCAAGAGAAAATAGTAAATGAAAACTGACTTCAGTCAAGTTTTCAGTAACAATAACAAATAAACGGAAATCAATAAATCTACTTAGCCTTGCTCTGCATAACCCATCATTATTAAACAACTACATGCTGACTTCAACATATAATATATATTTTAAATGCCCAGATTTGTCTATTCGAAAGAACGAACGAAACACGCTCAGCCACCTTGTTCACACAAGTGCAGTAGGCAATGGGACACACCTATTATGTGAGGATTAGTGATATTATCTGGCAGGCAAACCTCAGTAGTTGGGGCGGGGTTCGAACCCGTGACTTAGTGGTTGATAGTTATTTCCCCAAACTCCTGAACTACAGCTCTAAACTGTCTATTACTAAAAATGGCATTTCGAATAAAGTATAAAACACCTGTGCATATCAAAAAGGGACTCCGCCATGAGCAAGTTTTTCTCTTCCTAGGTATTAAAGCCATCAAAAAGGAAATATCAGAATGTAACTAACCTTGGAACGCGGAAACTCTTTGGTATCAATTAGACGTTCAATAAGCTGGTTAAGATAAACTTCTAGTTCAACTTCTTTAGAAGTTCTTAAACCAGCTCTAGGAGTAACCGTAATATCAACAACAGCACGATGTGTAAGTTCCTCATTAATTTTAGCTTCGTCTGGACCGTAAATTGAAAAAGTCACATGATGTCCCGCATTATCCCAAGTTGCTGATCCTGCAGCATTACAGTCAGTATTAGTTTCAATGAATAAACTTATGCCGGCATTAGACATTTTATTCTGTTGGTAGGAAAAACATAAATAGGTAGATGTGAGTGAACAACACGATTAAACACCCTAGATAGAATGCGACTCACTAAACAACAAATTTTATTTACCGATTGAGAACAAAAACTTGGTGCAGCATGCATACCACGAAACGCGCCGACTAAAATATCATGACAACATTAAGACAAATAAAGTAGAGAGAAAAAACAGAACGACAAAATCAACGTACGACCTCGCACACAAGCACATCGGTTAGTTAAGTTGTCACATTTCACAGTAGTACACAAAAAACAGCTGCATGGAAAAGCAGTGGTATCGAAGATAAAGTTGCATGAAAGAGTGAATAATCTGAAGATGACACTTAGTGTGTCGACAGGTTAAGACATTTGCGCCATCGTGACCAATTTTCAGCTATGTTACCAACAATCCTTTTTTCATAGATAGTCGGATATCTTGATAGTCAGCGCCACATATGGTACAAGTTGGCAAATGCCAAACAAACCTTTTCTTTATCTGAGCTTAAATTTCATCAGCAACCAACCTGAAAAGTGCAAGGTGCTACACGTAAAACGTGATGCATGCCACGTATATAGCCCTAACGGCATGGAACTTGTAGCATCACTGATGGAGAAGTATTTCAGCGTTTTAGTTCCCTAAAACTTAAAATCTATGCTGTGACAGAAACGCATTTCGTGGGAAATTGACGTTAATAATCCATCAGTGGATTTTCAGACAATTCGATCGAAGATTTTTTCACCAAACTTTCAATAGCTTCATATGGTCTTACCTAGAGTTCAAGACTATCATCTTCTCTTCCCTGCAGAAGGACAAGTCAAGCTTGGAACGCATCCAGACGCCCAAATCTGTTCGACGACTTAAATCTAAAACATATGAAGAAAGAATGGTTGTGTTTGATCGATATTCCCTGAGATAGAGAAGACTAAGATGAGACTTGATAATGGCGCACGACATTTTGAGTACCTCTGGGCACCAACTTCGCTACTTATGGAATCTTATTTGTGGCACCAATCTTAGAGCACACAAACAGAATCCAAGCCTAAAACATAACAAGTTAGGTATCAAACAACTTTCACTGCCTTAGACTTGTTAAAACCTGGAATGCTCTACCTGAAGAAGTGATCCGGGCTACCTCTTCTGAATCCTTTGGACGCCGGATTGATAATTACTTGAGACGTGGGTGGGACCTGCTCAGAACTGACTGAATTTTCACATTTTAACTGCCACTCCTTGCCCTCTATTTACTGGCATACACGACAATCACAAGAAGTAATAATTCACGGATTCTAGGCGCGTGAGCTACTATTCCGTCAACAACCACTTGAACTCCACCTGCTTCTGATTATTTCCATGTACATATGCAGTGAAGTTGTGAAGGCATTGATAAATATATACACAACAACATTTCCCATTTATTTGGTTCAACTTACATTCTTAAGTTGGAATTTCAAATGTCTTACAACCTGAAGTTACTCACCATTTCAAAACATGAGCGATTGGGGCGCAAGGGAGTCTAATATCCAATATTGATAGTGCGGGAGTAGAAAAGTGATAGTTTTTCACCTCTCGCGTCTAGTTCTTAGGACTTTGTTCGAGTTGTCCAGTTCGCTCCTGCAGTGGACGAGGGAATCCTCTCTGCTTTCTTGCTTTTAGCTTTGGTGAGGTGGATGTTTTATGGGTTAGTAAGTTGTAATTTGTAGAGTGATTGGGGAGCTACAGGTTGCTGGAAAGGTTGGATGACTGTCTTGACTCCTGTCTGTGTATGTGCCTGAAAGAGAATAGTAAGGTAGTGGTAAAGAATGAACAACACTATTGTCTCGTTCACAGCACGGTCTTAGTAAAAATGTCTTTTGCTTGACGAACCTTCTTACAGTCAGAGAAAGTTAAGTCTAAGGATGATAGGATAGCTGTAGATGTCATTTTAACTGACTTTGGTGAGGTGTTTGACAAAGTACCTCATTCCAGGTTGCTCCGAAAGCTGGGAAATTTTGGAATCACTGGCAGTCTCGCATGGATAAGGGACCATGTTAGTAGGGGACAAAGAGATAGGATCAATTCCCAACCCTCCACCTGGAAGCCAGTAGAGAGTGGAGTGCCGCAAGGCACATTCCTGGGCCCCCTACCGTTTCTCCTATCCGTAAGTGAACTGCCAAATATCACGAAATCTCCTGTGGTTCTCTACGCTGATGTAAAAATCTGACGGGAAATTAGGATCGATGAGGATAACCGTGAGCTTCAGGCAGACCTGAACAGCTTGTTTACCTGATCGGAGAAGAGGCTGATGCCAATCAATGCAGATAAATTTGTGAGTATGTAATTGGAGTGCACACACACAGCAACGCCTACGATATTGATGGGACTCCTTTACCGCCAGTACTGACTCACGATGACCTAGGAGTCACGGTTAGTTTGACTTGAAACTCACAGCTCACTGTCGATTGGTAGCAGCTCGGAGTTTTAGGACTCTAGGCATTACGTAGAACGTTCACGAAAATAATTGGTGCCATGTTCACCTTCTCATACACATCCTTAGTTAGGTCTAAATTAGAAAACTGCACACAGGCGGCCAGTCCTTGTCTGATAGGTGGAGCAGACCTTCTAGAAATAGTTCATCGGGCAGCCACTCGTATGACCCCTGCGGTTGCTGGACTCACCTATGAAGACTGACTTAAGGAGCTGAACGCTTCACTCTGTCCTATCGCAGACGGAGGCGAGACCTAATCACGCTACAGATTTTTCGAAGAAATGACTTCTCTTGAAAGAGCGTTCCATTGGGCACATACTCTGTGAAAGAACTAATACCTCACTCTTGTGTCTCCCCTTTGGTGCGGTATGGGAGTAAGGTTTCCACAGGACTGTCGATTTGGGACCGATAACGCTGACCTATTGGGTGGTCCATTTGGTAAATTATCTTACAACTTGTCATCAGGTCACCCTGCTTCCTTCGATAGCCTAATGTGAACTAGTTGAGTTGTCTGAGGTGTTGAGATTATGTTAACCTGTTAGTTTGACAACCAACCCTGTCACTCTTCTCTGTACCTTCTCGAGACTATTTGCCTCTCTATTAGTGGTTGGGCTACCGTGTTGAATACCTCTAGGTGTTGTCTAACATAGGTTTCAAATACCACGGGTAATAATTCTGGGGTTAGTGCACCAAGTTGCCTTCTTAAAAGGGGCACGACAGAGTTAACCTTTGCTGCCATTCCCTTACAGTTGTCAGCAGTATCCAGTGTCAGAAAACTTTAGTCCCAGGTCCTTCTCTGTGGATACTTCGGTGATTACAAACTTGTTGAGGGTGTACCTGGCTTTCATCACTTCTACTGTGCGAAGTTACATCACCTTGAATTTCTTCAGGTTAAAGTGTAAAACGTTTACAGCTGACCAGGACCCCAGCTGCGACAGATCGTCTCAGGGTTTCCTAGGATCCTCTTCCTTACCTATTGTCTTCCATATTTTGATTTCGTCTACAAGTAGGACGGCAGACAAGGAGATTTTAATGGGAAGGTCGCTTATGAATAGCAAGAATAGGATGGTCAAAGGATCACTCTTTGAGAGACTCCAGTTCTTGCGCTCCTCCAGGCTGATCGAATTCTGTTTCCTTTAGTACAGAATTCTGTGTCTCCTAGGTATGTTGTGAACCATGTTATGAGTGGTTCACTGAAACCCACTTTTGGTAGTTTGGCGAGCATGGTGTAGTGTGGGACGCTATCGAATGCCTTAGGCAAGATAAAGTGGGCCGGTTGCTTGTTGTCCCATCTTACGGTCCAGTTATTCCGAGCGGTCATCAAGTTTGTGACACGTGACCGTCTGGTTCTGAAGCCATAATGTGTGGGATGAAAGATTTTGTCACTGTTTAGGTAGTCCCAGAAAGCATCTACAGCCAGTCTTTCCAGTACCCTGGATAGTTTAGGAACTAATGCCATTGGTCTGTAATTGCACAGGCTTCTCCGGTCCTCCCTCTTCAAGACTGGAGAGCGGATGTAACGTTTCCGTTCTTCGAAGAGTTGGCTTACTTCCAACGAGTGCATGAACGTGTTGCATATGGACATGCTTAGCACTACGGCACAGTTGCGTGGGACCACCGGTCTTATGTCGTCACAACCCGGAGACTTCCCCATTCGCAGTGTCAAAATTTTCTCAAGCACTTGGTTTGACGAAATCTTTACGTTCATCAGCTTCATATCGCAGCCCTGGAACTTTGTTACACCACATCACTATGTTGAGTTGCTTGTCAAATCGGCTGCTCAACAGTTTCGCTATCTCACTGCCTTTCAAAGGCTCTCCGTTCGGTCCTGTGATCAGGTTTAGGCGTTCATTCGTCAGTTTGCCTTGTGACATAAATCGACATGGGCTTTCCGGATTGTAACTTAACTGTTTAGCCGGGTTACTGTGGGATGTCTACCTGTCATTACGAATTCTCATATCACACAAGTTGCGTTACGTCTTGTGTTTAAGACAGTCTGATTCTTTGTGTAATATGCGCCATCGGTACCGTGCCTTCTTTTTCCCCTCTGTTTGCCTCTGGGTGGCGCAAGTTACCCAAGACCGTTTGTTAGATGGCTATCTGGTTAATTCTGGAACACTCATGTTGACAGCGCCTCAGGTAATATCTTAAATATGTATTCAATGTTTGTCTGCCAATAGTGAGCGCCATTCTTGTAATCATGTAACCTCCAGCAGTTCACTGTTGATGGGACGGTGGTCTGCTTTTCGGTGACAGCGGAACGCTTTTGGCCCAACTATTGGTTCTTTCTCCTTAATTATCAGAGAGAATCTTATCAAAGAGTGGTCGTGTTTGCCCAGGGGGTTGGACACAAATGTCTTCCACTAAAAAATCATCGTCTATTAGGACGTAGTCAAGCAGTGATCCTTTTCCATGTTGTCCCCATCTGGTGTTTCCTCCAGCCGTCTCTATTAATCCTGCCACCATAAACGTGTCTCGTGCTGTCCGTGGTTTACTCTTGCAGCATCGTACAACACCTTCAGGTTAATCTTTTACACGGTACCATGCTGTAGGAGCTTCTGTGAGTGATGCCTTGGGGTCAAAACGCACAGCTATCAAACCTGGTGTGGAAATGCTCTGCAAACGCATAGGCCTCAGTGACTTACTAACGCTGCTGGCAGATAAAGTTTCAAGTCCCGTTTCGCCCACGGCCACGTCCACTGCTCGATATCAAGGATATATTTATCACATTTCGTGGGTCCACCCACCAGTATGATTATTCCATGTACCACCATGGTTGCAGCTTCGTGCAGATCACTAGGTGTGGGCTTTCTCTCCGCCTCCATGGTGACCCATGACTTATCTAGTTTCACCCTTACGATCCAGAAGCCTGAGAGTTATGGTCGGCGCTACAGTATCAGCTTGTTTTCCCGTTGTTTCGATACGATCGTCGATATCCCAAGAGGTGGTGGCTTATCTCGAGGTGCTCTACCTCCCCTGGAGAGCCGGCAGAAGTTGACTGAGATGGGTTCTACTCCTAACTCCTCTCAGCAGTCATGTCATCTCTCCTTGTCAGACTGCTCTCTTTTTTCTAAGGGTGAGTCTGTTGGTGCGGGGACGTTGAACGGAATGATGGAGTCCGTTCTCTTGTCCCGTGGTGCAGGGTGTTGGGCTTGGTAGCCAATGCTTTTGATCTACCCTTCAACCCTACCTACTTCCTTCCTTGTGTCCTCGACATAACCTATTTAATGAGGTTCTTCAGTTCCGTTGAATCACCTGGGTTGCACGACACAAGCGAAGACTTCTTTAGTACCTCATTTGGAGTGAGAACTAGTGTTTTCCTATGTCTAGGGGAGACCACTTCGCAAACTTGTGGGGCTTGTCCAGCTTCTGGGGATAGATTTTGCGGGCTCACACTGTGTAATATTCCGAAGTGTACCAAGTTCTCCAGTTGGCCAGTGGCGATGGCAGATAAGTTTCGGCATTCTGGACACACATACCACGTTCACTTACACAGGCGCCTTCTCTTGAAGCTGTAGCGCTGACCTGGTGTGCCATCATCACAGTTACAGTGTACCCATTTTGGACAGATTTTGCACGCAAAG